TGGAGCTGAGGGAGCAAGGGGGAAGCGGGCAGGGGGTGTCTCCTGCTGAGTCAGTCAGTTCCCACTGGCAAGCCCTCCCCCGTTAGGTGGTAAAGGACTCACAGGGTCCCTTCCCAGGTCACTGCCCCCTTTGCCCAGAACTATTTGTCCCCTGCCCAAAGCCTCATGCTTAGCCCTGTGCTCCCCATCCCCAGACTGGTGCACTCAGGCCCCTCCAAGGGCTCGGTGCCCTACGACACAGAGCTCTCCTTTGCCCTACGCACGGGCACACGCCATGGTGTGGACACTCACCTCTTCAGCGTGGAGTCACCACAGGAGCTGGCTGCCTGGACCCGCCAGCTAGTGGATGGCTGTCACCGGGCCGCCGAGGGTGTGCAGGAGGTGTCTACAGGTGCGCTGGGTGGATCTGGGAGTGCCTTTCTGGTAACGAGCCTCTTATCCCCAGAGGCAATCAAGCTTCCTTCATTAGGGTGCTTCAGGAGGGGCATAGAAAGTAGGATTTGGGCTCTTCAAGAACCTTCTGTTTCGGATGTGCAGGTACCCCAGCAGGTAGAGAGAACTCTTACCCCTGGGGTTTTTCTTGCTCTGGTTTTGTGATTCTGCTGGTGAGGATGCGAGAGATGGCACTTGGTGTAGGGGTGCCAGATAAAATATAGGACATCCAGTTAAATTCAAATTTCAGATAAATTAGTATGTCCAAATTATTGTTTATCTAAAATTTAAATTTAGCTGGGCAATTCTACGGGTCTCTAAGGGCCACGTTTGGTAAGTCTGTTGATGTAGACTTATAGGGAGTGGGCCTCCTGTCCATGGCAGATTTTTAAGCTCCTCCTTTCTACTTATGGTGCTGCTAGAAGTGGGACTAGAAGTGGGTGTAGGTTCTCTGAGGCTGGAGCTGTTTCAGTAGTTTAGGGTACGGGTGTCATGACAAACAGTGAGCCTCCCATCGCTGGAGGTATTCAAGCCCTACCTCGTGGAGCTGCAGTGGGGGTTGGAGGTCACGCTTGTGGTCTCTGAGCTGCTGGCTGTGCCTGTGCCCACATGCCCTCCCTGCAGCCTGCACGTGGAACGGCCGTCCCTGCAGCCTCTCTGTGCACATTGACAAGGGCTTCACACTGTGGGCGGCTGAGCCAGGCACGGCCCGAGCTGTGCTGCTCCGACAGCCCTTCGAGAAGCTGCAGATGTCCTCAGATGATGGTGCCAGTCTCCTTTTCCTGGACTTTGGGGGTGCTGAAGGCGAGATCGTGAGTGAAGGGCTGCCTCTCCACCCTGGGGAGGAGGGGGTATGTTCTCCTGGAGGCCAGGCTGGACGGGCCCCTGACCCTTCTCTCCATCCACCCTACAGCAGCTGGACCTGCACTCGTGTCCAAAAACCATGGTCTTCATCATCCACTCCTTCCTCTCGGCCAAAGTCACCCGCCTGGGGCTCTTGGCCTAGAAGTCACCTGGTGCACTAGCCCTGAAGAGGGGGCATCCATCACATGGCCTGGCCTGGGCCTCCACCAACTGCCTGCTCACCACGGGGCCGAGGGAAGGGAGAGGAGAGGAACATGGGCCTCAGAGACCCAGCCCCCAAGGGAGCTGGATTGGTCTTGGGGACTAGCACCCAGACCCAGGACATAGTGGGTCCTGCCTGTGACGGGGTGACCTTCCCGCTGCCCACCTCCACCAGTGCCTTTTGCAGAGAGATATTTTGTGTACACAGAAGCCATTCCGAGCCTGGGACCTGCCCCTGCGAGGATCCTGACTCCAGCCAACAGCAGAGCTGCCAGGCCTCCTAGAGGTCCCTAAGCCACCCCCAGAGGTCCCATCTGAAGTTGGAGTCCCCTGGGGTCAGTGGCAAGAGAAGGAAGAGGAGTCTTTCTGTTCATTTTCCCCTCAGCCTCACCACCTTGGTGTATCTGGTTTTTCTCTTCATCCTCTCTCTCTCCTCTTTATTCTTGGGTAAATAAACAGCCTGTGAACACATAGGCAGCCTGGCCTGGTGTCTGTGGTTTGTGACTTGGCCATTGGGCCCTGTGGTGGCCCCTGAAGTCCCACAGTGGACCAGACCAGGACTGGGGCCACTTTTCCTGAAGAGGAGCATACCTTTACTACAGGGGCAAAAGGAAAGCGTATTGGTTATCTTATTGTTGTGTGACAAATTACCCAACATTTAGCAGTTTAAAATGACAACCATTTATTATCTCTTAGGTTCTGCGGGTCAGGAATTTGAGAGGGGCTAAACTGGGTCACTTGTGTCTTAGGGTTTCTCATGAAGTTGCAGTGGAGATGTCAGCTGGGGCTGCAGTCATCTGAAAGCTTGACTGGGGCTGGAGGATCCACTTGCAATATTGCTCACTCACGTGGCTGTGGTAGGAGGTCTCAGTTCTGCATTGTGTGAGCCTAACCACAGAGCTGCTTGAGTCTCCTCGTGAAATGGCAGCGGGCTTTCCCCATAGTGAGATGCAAACAGAGAGCAGGGAGGAAGCCATAATGCCTCTTGTGACCCAGTCTTGGATGCCATATACTGTCACTTCTGCTTTATTCTAGTCATTAGAAATGAATCACTAGCCAAGCATGGTGGCTCACGCCTGTAATCCTAGCACTCTGGGCAGCCGAGGCGTGAGGATTGCTTGAGCTCAGGAGTTCAAGATCAGCCTGCTCAAGAGTGAGACTCCGTTTCTAAAAAGAAAAAAAAGAAAAAAAAAAAAGAAAAGAAGAAGGGAATCACCAAGTTCAGCCCACACTCAAGGGGAGGGGAATTAGATTCCACCTCTTGAAGAAAGGAATGCCAAAGAATTTGTGGACCTATTCTAAAACAATCATAGAGAGCCTCAGGCCCCTTTCTTGCAGAAGGGAGGTCAGGTGGAACATGCTTCAGAAGCTGTGATGTGCCAGCCAGATGGGAGTAAGCGCTGGTCATAACTCCCCGCTTGCTTGCATTGTCCAGAAAGTCACAATGACAACAGCAATGGTGACTAGCATTTAGAAAGCGGTTGCAATCTTGCAGGCACCATACTAGATACTGTGCATCTGTGTGTCACTGGGTCCTCACCACACGCCTGCATGGTGGGCACATTTATCTCCATTTCACAGATAAGGAAACGGGGGCTCAGAGAGGGACAGTAAGTTGCCCAAAGTCACATAGCTATGAAGTGTTTGAGCTGGGATTCAGATCAGGTCTGTCTGACTTCAAAGCCCTTGTTCACCTTAGAGACTTTCTGGCTCTGCCCCATCACTAGAAGTATAATACAAGCCATTTATGTAATTTAAAATTTTCTAGTAGCCACATTATAAAAAGTTAAAACAAAGGTGGAAATAATTTTAATAATATATTTTATTT